GGTGAGTGTGTCCTCTAGACCTGGCCCCTCGACAGCAGAAATAGGGTCTTATTTATCTTTATGTCTCCCTCCAAGAAGCTAACTGATAACTATTTCTTGAATTGAACTGAATTGAACTGAATTTGCTTTGTATACTGTCAGTAAGACATGAGTTTTGAACCTGACTTCCCTGTATATTTTTTTGAGCTTTGCAACTGGGCAAGTTACTTCTTCTCTTTGGCCTCACTCTCCTGTAGAACGGGAATAGCAATTCCATAATGGAATCACCGTGAGGATGTCATGAACCAGCATAGCAGAGCTTGATGCATAATTGATGCTCAATAAATGTTGGCTCTTTTCTCGGTTCCTTTCCTCTTGAAATTTTTGTCCATTAGTGCTAACGAGTTTTTTTTNGACTTCCTCTTTTCATCTTGCAAAACTGAAACTCTGTACCCATTAAACAGTAGCTCTGCATTCTCCCCTCCCCCCAGTTTCTGGCAACTGCTGTTCTACTTTCTGTTTCTATGCATTTGACTACCTAACCTCATAAAAGTAGAATCATTCAGTGTTTGTCTTTTTGAGACTCACTAATTTCGCTTAGTGTAATGTCCTCAAGGTTTTTCCATGTTGTAGCATGTGTCAGAATTTCCTTCCTTTTAATGGCAAAATAATACTCGGTCGTATGTATATACTACATTTTGTTTATCCATTCATGTATTGATGGCCAGCTGGATTGCTTCCAGCTTTTGGCTATTGTAAATAATGCTAAGACATGGCGAACAAACTTCTCTTCAAGTCTCTGCTTTCCATTATTTTGTATATATAACCAGAAGTGGAATGTTGGATCATGTGGTAATTCTATTTTTAATTTTTTGAGAAATTTCCAGACTGTTTTCTATATCAGTTGCAACATTTCACACTTTTACCAACACTGGTATTAACAAATTTTTTTTTGATCCTTCGTATTATTTTCAACAAAAAGTATGTCCTTTCAAAGCAAAAGGCCAGTCAGGTTTGGTTTATTTCTGTAATACCTTGGCAGATGTAAGTTAACTTTAACCTTGTTAGAATCAAGCTATAACCAGAGCAGTCACTTAAGCATTAATTTTTTAATGTTTCTAAAAAGGATGTCTATCATTTAACATTGGAATGATCTGAAGAATTACCTGAAAATAACCTGTCCTCGTGTTGTATATTTTCACTTCATAATCAAAGCAATGGATTGGAAAGGCAGAAACTGGTTTCTCCCACTGGACAGAGAGGTGAGTTCCTTCAATCTCTGCTGTGACATCCATTGGAGGATTTACTCGATCTAGGTTACAGAAAGAGAGATGAGTGATATTTCTTTAGAATCTGTGATCAGCACTGATGACTCCAATCCACCCACACTGCTCAAGGCATGTCTAAGATATGTTCCTCGCAAGTATTTTCCATCAGGCTTAATCACCCGATCTCCAAGCCTCCCTTAAGACTCCTGTATTGTGCTGCTGAGGAACAGACCCCTCTTGTAAACTACAAGGATTACTACTCCAAATGGAATTGAATGGTTGAATCTCTTTCCCTGTCTTCTCATTGCAAGACTCACCCACCACCCCTTTCTACTTCCCAGGTTGGACCAAGTCCAGGATAAATCTCACCCTGGAGAGAATACCGCCCTTGGAGCGCCCACCAAGCTCTGCTCCTGCTTACCAGTGGG